TCTACAGACATTAAAAAACAAACAGTCTTCTTCTTGCAGACCGCAGACCTTCGGTCCACCCCTTCTCCTGCAGATGTCTACGGTAGTGGTCCACAGACTGCAGACCTTTTCCTGCAGAAAAAACAAACACCCCCCAATTGTTTTTAATGTGTTAGACATGTTTAAAAAACACTTTGATGTTGTGTGAAATGCAATGAAAAGAGTTTTAGCCTAAAGAGCCAAAGTATAAAGATTGGGTCGGTCTTGATCATAATTGTGACCGACTCAACGACACTAAAGACTACGGTCTTTGTTCTTGGTCTCTTTTAGTTCTTGTTCTCTTTCTTCTCATCTTTGGTTCTCTCCTTGTATATTTAACGACTTGTCTCGTTCACGGCGGTTTGGCATTATCAAAACCTGTCATAAAAACGAACACGGCTTTAGTACAAAAACGTGATAAACCCGTGTTTCAGCAGAGGGCGGTCCATACTAATTATTAGAAAATCCTATAATTACCATGGTTGGTTTGTGAAAAAGAGGTGAGAAGATTGTTCTAACTGGTCTTCACCCAAGCTAATTAGAATAAACTAGTCTAATACCGTGCCACTCCCTGAACACGGCATTATGTTCGGTTCTACGCTTGGATAGGGCAGCGGAAAACAAATATTTGGTGTTCAAACGTAGATCCACCCAGGACCTCTTATGATTATTATAAGTTATTGTTTAGAAATATACCTTTCTTGGCGAGCAAGTAATGATATGTGTAGGTTGATGGATTGATCCAAGAGCTAGCCACAAAAGTATATGACCTCCAGTTGAGACACACAAACAATGAAGAGTGTTCTAGAGAAAATTATGCTAGTAATTTTTCTCTAGAATATTTCTAAAATATAAAATATTTGGTGTAAAGTATTAAGAGAGCAAAACAAATTTTGTCTCTTAAAAAGAGAGGAGGCCGAAATTCTAATAGGCAAAAAGGGGTGGGATGATCTCCTATTTATAAGGAGTATAATCCCCATTCCCATTCCTAATGGGAATATTTAGACTTGAGCACCTAACTACTATTTGCATTCATGACTGATAAGTTTTTAATTTATTGTGTCAATGATATGCAACATATTTATCGTGCTCCCACTAGTCTTCAATAAGACTTTTATCCTAGACATATAAGTTCTATAGCTGGTTATAGATAATTTGAAACATTTCTTTTATCCTTTATAGACTCATCGAAAACAAGTATTAAAGTGTCTTCATTTATATGAGACATACTTTCATTACGTGTTATTAAAGAAGGAATCGTTTTGGAACAGATTCCAAGCATTCTTTCCTTTCAGAGTCTACAATGATTATTTTAGTGCTTAAGGTTCAGTAGTATTTGGCAAGGTTACATAATCCTCTTTTTAGGACTAACTATTTTAGTCATGTTATCTAGATAACGTTTGAGGGAACGTCAATTTCATGATCGTTTCACTTTTGCCTTTCCTATTATGTGATTTTGGCATTAATATCACTTGATCTTTATTGTTCTTTATTAATGTTAATGGCAAGTTTAAATTTCGAAAATTTAAATAGAAAGGGTACTTGGCTATAAACTTTATAAAGATATCCTTATATCTCTAAGTGTTTATCACTTCATTCAGAATTTTGTGACAAACTTATTAACTGATTAATATTTGTACTTTGTAGCCTTGGTATAGTTGTTGTATTGCGATATGCTTGTGAGGCAAAATATTTGATCATATGAAATACTTCTATAAATGGAGCAACAATTTGTCCTTTATTAAAATAACCAATAATACTTAAAACAATAAGTAATCATCAATTCAAAATTGAAAATTGATCAAATACTAAAACTTAAACTAATGTGCCACTGAGTTGCAACCCTTGCATCTTCAAGATCAACACTCCTACTTCTTCTCTTCAGTTCCTGCAACGGTTTGCAATACTATAAGTATCGAATACTTTTGAAGAGATTGTAGATTAGTTTAAGTCATTACAACAATTGTACCTGAAGCAGAAGTTTCACCCTTTTTCTTGGTTGCCAAATACTACTTGCAATTCCTCTTCCAGTGGCCAATTTCACCACAGTGATGACAAATGGAATCTTTGGCCACTCCACCTTTAGGCTTGAGCTTAGAAGTATTGGACTTTGGTTTGGTGTTACCCTTGCCTTTAGGTCCATTCTTTTTTGCTTTCTTGAACTTCTTCTTGCCTTTTCCTCCTTGAACTAGAAGGACAGAATTCCTCTTTCCTTTCGACAAGCTCTCTTCGGCAGTTTACAGCATCTTCAAGAGTTCTGGCAGTGGTTTATCGAGTTCATGCATCTCGTATTTAACCACAAACTGCTTGTACAACTCTGGCAACGATTGCAGAATTAGATCAGTTGCAAGTTTAGTCCTTAGTTCAAAACCCAATTTCTCAAGAGTTTGGATGTAGCCAATCATCTTGAGAACATGCGGACCAACGGGGTTCCCAACTGACAACTTGCAACTAAAGAGAGCTTTAGAAATTTGGAATCTCTCATGCCTAGTTTGTCCTTGGTAGAGATGTCTTAGGTGTATGATCATATCATATGCCTTCATACTCTCGTGATGTTTCTGAAGGTCACAAGTCATCATAGCCAACATGAGATATGCCACCTCATTGTCATCATTAACATGCTTCTCATAAGTATCCTTGATTGCTCTAGAAGCATTGGCAGCCGGGACAGGTGGGATGGCTCGTTCGAGCACATATTCTTTCTTCTCGAGTCGAAGAACGATAACGAGGTTTCTTTCCCAGTCTAAGAAGTTAGAGCCGGTCAACTTATCTTTGTCATGGATCAAGCGAAGAGTGAGGTTATGGTTGTTATTAGACATCTACATATAATTTGCAAGATAGTTAATATCAAGAATCTAAGTAATTAGCTAGGTCTTTAACTAATAACTCTCCCACTATTTTAACAAATCAACTATCCTCAAGTACGTAACCTGTTGATTCAAGACTTCTCCTAAAGAGATATCTTAGTGGGCCAAGGTCCATATTACATTTAACTATAGTTGTGCTTTGCATATTTCCCTATAGTTAAACTAATTAGATAGGAACTTATTTCCAATTGTGATCTAATTACAATCCTTGGTTTGTTAGGTTGTTCTAAATAAAATCCTATACTGAGCCTATATCCTTATTTCATCTAACTATAGTTGTGCTTTACATCTTGCCCTATAGTTAAACTATTTCAGGTAGGAACTATCTCCAATTGTAACATTTTACAACTCTAGGTCAGATGAATTTGATTTTATTTATTAACCTAACCATGTGCCTCTAAGTTATTCATCTTTTTACCTTAAATTAGTTAAGTTCAACCCAGGGCGTACTCAGTATCCATTGTTACGGATTTCGCGTCATACCAATGTAAACCAGGCGTCCCGCTTTGGCGTGTCCGTTGACTGGTCGAAACTGGTATCGACGAGTGAGTCAGCATCGGAAGGCACAAACTTAATATTACGAGGGATTTTAAACATGATTTCACCTATGGCATGTGCCGCGCACACATAGTAGCGAATATCATACAAACATATATACAAACATGTATAATGAATAAAACATGACATGGTTGTGGCCTCCTAAAGAACTAACGATAAAGTAGCGAATATCATACAAACAGTAGCGAATATCATACAAACATATCTCCAGCTTCACCTTCTTTTTTAAGAATTCTTTAGTCTTCAAGTTCTGCCCTTTCTTGTTAGTGTCCTCTTCTTCTTGGCTCCTTCATCATCCTTGCTTCTTCATGGACTTCTTGTTTTTAATCGAGAGAAAAGAATTCTTGCTTTGTAAATAAGGGGTATGAGGTTTAAGAAGAGATTTACAACCAGTATTTAGAGATGAGGCACGACACACAGGCCATATTTAAGAGCCAAATATTCTAACCCACAACCACGCACCATGCATACATACACACATCACATGCATAAAAGACATACACCGGGCAAGCCACGCTTGCCTGAGACCTAGTTTATTCTAAGACAAATAAACTACAAGCCTAAAAATTATCAAATAATTTTATCTAACTTTATTTTAAAACTCCAGAATATCCAAAATTTAATTTTTGAATTTTCCTTAATTTTAAAATAATTAATTGCCTTAAATATAGGTATTAATTTCGAAATTGGGTATTTAAATTGAAATAAACACTTATACCTTTTGAAAATTAATAAATAAATTCCATAATGTGTATTCTGATTTTATAGGTCTGAAAATAAAATTTACAGAATTTATAAAAAAAATTATTTTCGAAATTCTTTATTTAAATACCCAAAATCGGACTTCCATTTTCCAAAAATTATTTCCGAGTTTCCAATAATTAATATTTTCCAAAAATCTTTACTTTGGGTCAGTATTGTTCTGAAAATCAAATTTCCAGATTTAAATAAATTTGTTTTTCGGTATTTTGGAATTTATTCCCAAAAGAGTTAAATTAATTTCCAAAATTAATTTAGAACATTCCAAATATTCCAAAAACCAATATTTTCAAAAAATAAAGTTTTTGACTCATGTACAATCTGAAAAAATGTTTTTCCAGATTTTAATTAAATTTATTTTCGGTACTTTCTATTTATTATTTGATATTCCATAAAACAATTTCTAAAACTATTTTCGTGTACCATAACTGTTTTTCCCAAAACTTAATAATTAAATACATAAATTATGAATTTAATTCTCAACAATTTTATGCGGTCTGAAACTAATATTTTGAAGGTAATAAAATTATAATCCCAAATTTTAATTGTCCTTTTCAATTTAATCTCTATTCATACCAAATAAGATTATTTAAATTGGGAAAAATAGAAAATAAAAATCTAAAATTTATTTTAATTTTCCAGATTACTTAAAATAATATTTTAACATCCCAGAAATATTAAAAGTATTTTCTTGAATTTATGTTGTATTTATATTGTAATTAATCAAATTAACTACAAATCAGCCAATAATTTATAAATTAGAAACTAAATTCCGAAAATTAATTTTATATTTCCAGAGCTCTTAAAATCATTTTAAAGTCTCATAATGATTCAAAGTATTTTTCCATAATTTATTTTGTATTTATCTTGTAATTAATCAAATTAACTACAAATCAAACAATACTTTATAAATTAGGAAATAAATTCAAAAAATTAATTTTAAATACCCATAGGTCTTAAAATCATAATTTAAAGTCTCAGATTTAATAAAATTTAATTTTAGAAGTTTAGAAATATTTTAATTGGTTAAAATGGTTTTTAACTGATTAACCCGAAAATAAAAATTAATCCAAACTTTAATTCAAAAATTCATATTTTTGAATTTTATAAGGTCCGGATCATATTTTTGCACTTTATTTAATTTTGGATAATTTTCGAAAATATACACACATATATTTTATTTTATTAATTAACAAACACCCTAACGGCAATTAGATCTACAAAACTTATAATTTTCATAAGTCAGATTTGATTCGACTGTTGGGTTCCTCGCTTGCATAGGGCAGAAAAAATTTTGGTGTCCAAACGTAGATCGACCCAGGACCTCTTATGACTATTATAAGTTATTGTTTAGAAATATACCTTTCTTGGCGAGCAAGTGATGATATGTGTAGGTTGATGGATTGATCCAAGAGCTAGCCACAAAAGTATATGACCTCTATTTGAGACTCACGAACAATGAAGAGTGTTCTAAATAAAATTATGCTAGTTATTTTTCTCTCGAATATTTCTAAAATATAAAATATTTGATGTAAAGTATTAAGAGAGCAAAACAAAATTTTGTCTCTTAAAAAGAGAGGAGGCCGAAATTCTAGTAGGCAAAAAGGGGTGGGATGATCTCCTATTTATAAGGAGTATAATCCCCATTTCTATTCTTAATAGGAATGTACCTTTTAGAGTTTAGGAAGGAAATCAAATCCCATTCCTATTCTACTTAGAAAATTTCGAATCCCACTTTAAGGAAGCTTCTAATTTATTTTGTCAACTTTAAATACCATATAATTAGTATAAAATAAATAATATAACATTTATTATATATATACGAAAAACATATATATATATATATATATATATATATTAATTTTAAATAAACTTTTATTAAGAAATGCTCCAAATCAACGAATACATCAAGTGTGTTTTGGAAATTTATAAATGCCAAAGCTAAACACATGAGTTTTATACAACAAAGAGGAATCCAAACGTTTAGCCCAAAACCATTGTTGAAGAAGCTTGTTTGTAGCAGCCATAACACCCTCTCTTGTGAACCTTCCTTGTGAAAAAACACATGCAGTATACATCTTCCAAATAGACCAAGAAAGCAAGCCTGGAATAACAAACCTAACATTACCCAAAATGCTGAACACACACATATATACATATATATATTTACGCACACGCACACACGCACAGATATATATATATATATATATATATATATATATATATATATATAATTATGTTATATTTTGTTCCTTAAATAATATTTGACAAACTTAATTATCATATAATTAAAATATCCAAATATAAATATTTATTTATATATATCCTTGTGTATCTAATCATATTGTCACACAATGTAATACACACAATATATAAAATGCAACTTTACTCCACTTGCATATTCTACACTTTCATATGTTCTATATGTGTGACCCTATTCTAGGCATCAATAAAATTGGTCATAGTATAGAATACTACAAGTGATAAGCAGTATCTAGCAACACATTATCACCCCCAAATTATAGATTAAATATCTTAGAATAATTACTTCAACGACACATCCTATTTGTATAACTCTTATCCCTTTATCACTAATATCTTGATTTAACAAAAGGTATGGGGTGTGTCACCTTGTTATAGTTAAATCGATGGTTTACTGATTCTTTGATTGACTTGTGGGATTCAACTAACATATTTATTTGGGCATGGCCATGCACTTCCCAAGTCACATCAATCAGTGGGCCCTAAGATATTATACTTCATTAAAGAAGGGATAAATTCTATCTACGTCATTCACATCTTCCCTTAAGTTTCATTACATACCCAAAACATAATTGTACATCCACCAATATTTCAGATGGCATAAACTATGCTTCAAAGTATACATTCAACTTACCAAAGAATGTAATGACTTCAAGTTGAAGGATAGTTATACTAATGGTCGCATGAGAATAATATTAACACTATAACTTAAACCCATATATTATTCTCATAGCGGGTTAATCCAGCAACATATCCAATATGTTTGCCTACGTATAGATTCAGATAACACTTTATCTATAGCCTATGAGACGCAGTTATCTCATCTCATACGTATTAGGCTTGATATATTATGATGTCCATATTGTCATAATATTTGACTAAGGATATTTTAGACGTAGCCTCTATCTTTGTAACAGCCCCATAATCAGAACATCGTAGTTCTCATCTATGTTACTAGAGCGCCTACTCTATGGACTAAAGCTATGTTTAAATCACACGAGACGACTTAAACAATCTTTAGAGCCTATTGTTCTTGATATAATATAGATATGGAGTCATAAGTTGGCCTCTAGGGCTTACTTATATTCAAAACGTTATTTGATAATAATCGTATTATAGGGGGTCAACTTCACCGTAGGATTGGTTTATTCTCGTGTCGTCTCTAAGATCGGCTCGAAGAAAAGTCTTAGTTGAATCTAACTAGACAAAGTCTTCTAGTTGGATTGGAAAGTTTCCAAGTAATCAAAAGGTTATGGGATGATTAATTTAATTTAAAAAGGATATGGATGTCATTCATATTCAGGTAACGGACCCTTTTTAAACTACTTTTACTGGTTGGAATATTTACTAATTTTAATTTTACAACTAGTGAAGTAATCTTAGTTAAATATTACATCAATAATTAATTCTATTTACAAAAATCAATGATACGTATTAAAGTGCTTGACTAATTATGATCTAGATTTCTCGTTGAACATAATTGTTTTTTCAAAGATTTGATTAACAACTTTTTCAGTTAATTAATCACAACAAAAACCCACAATAGTAACAACTAACAATTTAATTAATTTTAATCAATTTTCCAACCAAATAACTTCATCTAAAAATTTACATTGCCCAAGTACGAATCACATCCCTAATAAATTTAGCAACTCATAATAATAAAGCTAAACAGATAATTCTCAAATGAAGACATAATTAAATTTAGAAAATTAAATAAAATACTTACTTCAATAAGAACTAAGTATCGGGGGAGAAATGCGCTACACATTGCTCTGAGAAAATTCCAAAAATATGCTAATGTTAGAATGCATGAATTCAACTCTTTTTGTACTGTTAAGTATTGACTCACAAGTTTTGATAATTGACAAATACAGGTTATTCAAGTCAAGGATAAAGTGCTAGATTGACAAACACTGACTTGAAGTGCAAATTCCTTAAAGTATTCAAGAAGGAGCACAGGATTTAATGAAGACCAAGACGCTAGAGCGCTTTACGGAAGTGAAGTAGAGGATTTCCGAGACTTTTAATTTTCTTGAGCCTTAGGAAATATTTTAAGGATGACAAAAATATTCTTCACTCCAAAATTATTTTTATAAGAGTTATATATTATAGTTATTTTGGAGTCAGTTGAAAAATCATTTTTTAACTGTTCAAAAATGTTTTCATTGAGTCTGTTAAAAAAGGTGTCTCAAACATTTATCAAAATACTTATTTTGATATTCGAAAATATTATTAGTAAGCAAAAATATTTTATTCAAATATTTTTCTTATACATCGTTTGACATACAAAATATTTTGGGAACCCATTTTCTACACCAAAAATACCTCTAATAATTCAAACTTGAATTTGAATTATATTTGATGATTGGGGAGCCCTTTGGTCTGATTTTCATGCCCAAAAAAAGTGCTAAATTCTAAATAAGCACTTCACCCTGTTAGAATAAGTGCCCTTCGCTAGAGTGGGGGTGAATAGTGAGGCACGAGAATGTTTATAAATTTTCGCGGAATAAAAATCGCAGGGATAAAGTAAAGAGCGGAATAAAAAGGAGTAAAGGGAGCACACCAAGATTTACCCTGGTTCACCACAACTTGTGGCTAATCTAGCCTCCCGAGAGACTCTCTCGAGCTACACTACTTCCGTTAAGCTTACGGGTGCTTAACAAACCTTTACAACCTGAGAACTCGAGTCCCACGAGCCTCAATACACTTGCTCGGAGATACCGCACTCCAATACTTCAACCCGAAGGAAAATACCTTTCCTTCGTACAACCAAGGGAAACAAGCTTCCCTAAACGTGTTTACAACACTAAGAACACTCAAGAACAAGACTCTCTTTAAGAGTAGATGTTGAGTAATCTATATACGCTCAAGAACAACTCAAACTTCACAAATTGGCTCTAGAAAGCTATGGAAAATAATGTTGTTTGGATGCAATGATAATATGAATAAAGTGAAGTGAATTGATGTGTAAAGCAGACCCAAACACCCCTTTTTATAGTGCCAAAAAAGGCTCCAACGGACCAATACATTAAAGGGGTGATT